CACTCTCCCAGCCTAAAGGCTAAAACGCCGAGCTAACGAAGACCTCGGCACCGTATAAGACCTAACCGCTTCATCGGCATAGGCTAAGTATTAGTACCAAAGGTGCAGGCAGCTCAGGTGTGAATCATGTGATGGATAGCCCGCCCCGGTATACAAGTTAGACCCGTTAGGGACAACCGCCTTCAACTTTAGTAACCCAGGTGTAGACAGGTCGGGCATATGCCTTACTATGTTGCTCAGCTCAGTGTACATCATAAAATCACCCCTACTAAGTACGGGAAGACAGCTCGGGGTGACGGTAGTCGAGAAACCCCACTTTGAGTACTTAGCTCTAACAGTTCGAGTGAAATAGTCACTTCGGCAAAAGAGTAAATCGCACAACACTTAGCAACAAAAAGAGAGGAACATTTCATTACTAGTTCTTAAAAAAAAGGGCTTAACATCCCGGGAGAGTACATCAGGACAAAGAAAAAAGAAAACTGGGCTCAGCCGCCCAGGAACAACAACTCCAAAAGATCCATTCAGAAGAAGAAAAAAAGAGCAACCAGCCTCAGGGTCCCACTACCTCTACGTCCTCGTCGCTCTCCTCCAGGGAGTCGGGCTCCTCCTCCTCCGCAGCATCTTCCGTCTCCGGAGCCAGGTCCTTCATTGTTACGCCTTAAAGGTTAAGGCCGGAGAACTTCTTCCAGACCAGCCACCGGCAAAGCTTGAACCCCGAGCGGTAGGACTTCGAGCCGTACTCGATCTGGAGGTCATGGAACTGTTGGGACTCTTTAAAGTCCTCCACCGCCTTAGCCTGCTCTTCCTCCACCGCGGCGTCGAAGTTTTGGGTCCGCTCGTGGAGCGTGCACTCCAAGCTCTGGACCTGCTGATGAAGAAGCTCCCTCTCCGCCGCCACCCTCGAAGACTCCTCCCTGTAACGGGCGCTCTCCTCAGACAATCGGGAGATCCACGCTTCCTAGTCCCTAACGAGCAGCTCCTATTTGATGGTGTGAAGGACCTCACCTCGGGCCTGCTCGAGCTCGTGTTGGAGCCTTCGCACTTCCAACCTCTGTTTGATGGCGTCCTGGGAGTGAATAGCAGTCTGACAGGCCATGGCGTGGATGGCGGAGTTCAGCTGCCAATAGAAAGCCGAGGTAAGTAAAAAAAGGGGGGGGGAGAAAAAGGGGAGAAGCAGGCACTTACCACCATGCAGTGAGTCGAGGCTAGCTTGGAGAGCTGCCTAGGGTGCATCCCGGCCCAGTCCGCAATCTCTTCATGACCGACCGCCTGTTGGCTCCTTTGTGAGGCCACGAGGAAGTTGGTGACACTTTCATCCCTCCCCTCGGTAGGACACCGTGGGAAGACGGTGGGGCCGGACCACGCGGCCGGAGGGTACTACTCCTGGGGTGGGACCTCTTCTTCTTCGCTGCCTCCAGCGGATACTCCCTCAAACGACACAGGTGGGACGTCTGGAGGCAGAACAAAGGATGGGTCCGCAGCCTCAAACTTGGCGGCCCCAGAAGTGGACGCTTGGTCGGGGCGTGACCTCTTCACCCTATGTTTCTGGTTGCTCGACAGCACGCGATGTGCAACCACACCAGACATGTTGGCTGCAAGAATCACAAGGCATTAGTCCAGCTCGCAAAAAAAAAAAAAAAGAAAGAGAAGGCGACCTAAAGGTAACCTACCGGGGCTCAGATTGGCTTTGCACAAGCTTGTCCTCAGCCAGGTAATCCGAACAGAGAAAGCCGACCCCTGCCCAGGACTGCAGCGTTTCTCGAACCTTCGGGTCCAAGTCAACGCTCAGATCTTGAACGGCGGCCCTCCAGTGGGTCGGACAGGGCCACCCCTCGGGGTTACGAACTACAAAATAACCTCACTTCCAGGTTGGGATCATGTTAGGCAGCCCATGGAGGAGCTTGAAGCCAGGACGGGGAGAAAAGTAATAAGAGCGCCTTTCTGGAGGGGCTTCGGGGGAGGCATTCTTAATTGACAAGATAGTGGCAAAGGTATCAAGGGAAAGAGGAAGACACAGAGAAATTGTCCCGACCACATTCCGGATTGAGCTCAGGTGGAGTTGGTCTACGGTGACGTTGAAGTGGGAAAGAACCTCCACTATCAGAGGGTGTAGAGGGAGTCGGAGACCAACTGCGAGATGCTCCTCAAAAATCACGATCTCGTCGTGATCGTGTTCCCAGGGATAGTTGCCGGATGGGAGGTTGTAAATAAGATCCCTGGGGAGGTTGTAATGAAAGACTAGGGCTCGAAGTCTCTCCATAGACATGGAGGAAGGGCCGAAGCTATCCGGTTCCCGACCTCTGGAAGTGGAAGCCAAGTTACCGGAGGCTTCCTGAGCCTCCAAAGACCGCCCTTCGGGTAAACCCCAAGCTCCCCCCGAGCTCGAGGGGACCTCGCCCTGGTTACCATCCCACGGGTACCCATACATTGTTGGACAAGACAGAGGACTCACCAGGAAAAGTGAACTGAGAAAGTGACACGAACGGGGAGAGCTCGAGCAAACAAGGCGAAGGTGCGATCTCAAAACCGGAAGCAAGGCAAGTTGGCATAAAAAAAAAGAGGCCTGGGGGCCCTCCTATTTATAGCCATGGTGCCCGAAAACCAACAGTCTTGATCAAAGCGAATCCAACGGCTCATAATCAAACCGGTTGCATGTCTTTCGAGACTGAAATAAAGCCGACTGCACGTCTTCCAAAATTGAAGRCAGCTTGCCACATTTTTTGGCACTCAAAAAATCTAGAAATTGCCTGACATCCGCGCATATACTTCATGCGGTCGGTTAACCTAGTTTGAATTACGAGTCAAATCCACCCGTCATTTCGTGAACTCCCCGTCCTAGAGCAAGACCCTTAGCTTGAGGAGTGGGGGGCAATTGATGGAGGGTGACTTGACTCGACCTCCTAACCAGGGGACATGTGGACATGACTCGACGTAAATGACAACTCAGCATGACAGTTTGGGCACAACTCGGCGTCTTGAGCTCGCTGAAAACCTAGCATGAACAGCTCGCCACAAGACAGCTCGCTGTAGAACTGCTTGCTGCAAGCCAGCCGCTATTGGAGCTCGCTACAGAGGTGCTCGCTACGAAGGAGCTCGCTATTAAGTAACCTAGAGTCTTTGGTTAACTTCTTATCCGACAAGACCGTGCCTATCAGACTACTCCCACGTCTCTTGTCTGGCGGTGCAGCACCTGCCAGTCCAGAGGATTGCGCCCACGTCTCACATCAAGCGGTGTCGTGCACGCCAGCTCTGCGTAACGTCTCTCAGCTGACAGGACCGTACTCTGTGATGGTTACCTACACCAATCGAATCGGCCTAGTTCCTAATCAAATTAGAAGTTCCTTTGAACCAAATCTTTATTTTGAAATGGACTCTTTAAGTGGATAAGGATAATCTCTTATCCTATTTGCTKATCCAAATCTCAGATTTGCTCCTATTTAATTAATCTTATTAAGCCAGTTCGAATTGGGCTTTAGGCCCATTAAGTCTATGTGCTCACTTATCTTCTTAATCTGCTGCCCAGTTGGTTATCCTTGTATGACGTGGGACCCAAATATTGGTCTACACATTAGCCACATGGGTTCAGCCTAGCCTCTGCTACAAGGCCTGGCCGAATTCATTGTAGGAGATAGTGAACCCCTGAGTCCATCACCTTGGGCTCTTAATGGGCCCAACATTTACACTAAATGGTCGTTGGGTCCAACCACCTTATGAAAACCCAATGACTGTGGGCAGATGCAAGATTAGCCCATCAGGTATTACCCTTAATGGTCTTACACTTAACCTCTCAGCTCATAATGATCAAACATTGCTTAACAAGAGATGACATCTCCCTCGGCTATAAGGAACAATGCTACACTTTCTACTCACATGGATCCCGGGAATTAAAACCTTTCGCAAACATTTTGAAATCATAATATATATATGTATATCTCTATATAAATATATTTTGCAAAACAAATTTCAACGGTTGAAATCGATTACCGACAATTTTGGTTTCCATCAGAGAGAGTGCATCCCCGATCATTCACTTTGTTTGACAAAGGGGCTGATCTTGTCACTATGATGACCCACTCAGAAGAATTCTCAGACTATCCCAACATACCCAGGTTTTGACCCCCTCTAAGGATCTCATTGATTGGTATATCAAAGACAGTCCAATCCGACACCTAGTGTAGTATCATAGTCAAGTTTAGGGGTCATGTGTAACATTACAGTTTTGTCCATCTATTTCCAAGGTTCAAGGCAATACTGGAATTTTGGTCTGATTCAGGGTTTAAAGAAAACCCATACTGCATGTACCTCAGGTCTCACCTTGACAGYTGAGACAAGCCACCCCAACCAACTTGGCGGTATATCAGTGTCAGTCTTGGCTGGATAAATCTCCCCATATCTATCCAACGGCTGTGAAGATTATAAACTAACACGAGTCTCATAAATATCCGATTTAAGGGTATTACACAGAAACACACCACAATGACATGAATCAATTATATATTTTATTCATTTACAATAAATGTAAAAAAAAATACATCAATCTAATTAAAATTAAAGGCATAACTATCTAATAATGTCATCATCGGGAGATGTTCCCAGTAGACGACAGAGGAGATGTGTTGTGGGGCGCAGATCTGAACTCTTTTTGGGCAGCAGAACCAGTTTGGAAATTGGGACATGGTTTATGGAGTTTCGAGTTGAGCCTCACATAGAAATACCAAAAGTTGTGTTTGGGAAGATTTCGAAAAGCTTATATAAGCTTTCCGAACTAAGTGCAGTTCGTCCAATCTCCAATGTTCAGGATATGGACATCTAATTACGGCCCACGTAAAACTCGCGGTCCATGCTTATTATCAGTGGACAGAGAGAACTACTTCTTTTTATAGGGGTATTTTATGTCATTTAAAATTGGAGGGCCTAGATCTCGAAGCAAAGCATCCGACGAGTCAGGAAGCATCTAAAGAAACACACCTCTAGGGTCTGGACTTCTCTTGGGCATATATTCTGTTTTGAACCCTAAACCCCAGCCGCTTCCTTCCCGTCACTCTTTCAAGGTTGAGAGCCCCAGCCAGACCTGATCGGGAAGCTCTTCTCCAGAAGAGAGAAAAATGGTGCGCCTTCTTCTTTACTCTTGTCTTGTTCAACCCTGTTTCATCAAATGAGAGTGTTGTTTTTCTAGATTGTAGTCATTTTCGTCTTCTGGGCTTTGAAGATCTTTCATGTCTTGAAATCTGTTGGTGTTTATTTTTAATGGAGATTCTGTGCTGTTGGCTTTTCTTTTCTTTTCTTTTTTCTGGTTCAGTTGCCGGATTCTTCTGTGTTCTTGTCTTCCTTTGTAGAGACGATTCATTTTTCTGCTGCAAGTTTCTACATATGTACTTAAATCGTGTAATCGTTTCAATTGAATAGGCGCGCAATCTGGATAACATTAGATGAAGAACCTGTCGGAATGACTTGATTTTTCACTCGATATTGTTACATTCCGTGTAAACATGGACCTTTTTTATCTGGATTAGATATGGGATCAGTTTAGTCGTTTTGGACTAGCTCCAAAATCTTAGATTTGAGGGAGAGATGCTGATATATTCACTTATGATTCTGTATTTGGAAAGTTTCTTTAGGTTACCCGTTTATTATTCAGGCTGCGTTTTTGTTTACAAGTTCTAAATAATCTCTGCTGCCTGAGTATTTACTTTTGGACTTGAAAATGCAATCCATACGAAGACAACATCTCAAAAGATCTGCAGAAGGTGCACAAAAATGTAAAATTTACCCTAATTGCGAATAAACCTCAGATCAGTTCACTCGTCAAAATCCCACCGTTGTCCAACTCTGAGTTAACTAAATATTGAGTAAAACCTACGGAAGATGTGTAGGGGGGGTTGTTGGAAAAAAATTGGCCCTCTCAAGAGCTTTTCAATGGCAAGGT